AGTATGGTGGCCACCACCGAGGAGAAGGTGCTAGAAAAACTGAAAAGTCTGAAGATGGATCAACCACCAGGACCAGGTGGACTACACCCCAGAGTTCTGAAGGAGATAGCTGAAGAAATAGTGGAGGTGTTAGTGTGGATCTATCAGGAATCACTGGAGTCACAGAGGGTCCCACTGGACTGGAAAATGGCTAATGTAAACACCCCCCTTCCCGTTTAAGAAGGGAGGAAGGCAAAAGATGGGAAATTACAGGCTAAATTAACCATACTTTAGTTGTTGATAAGGTTTTGAGTCCATTGTGAAGGATAAGATTTCTGAATACTTGGAAGTGCATGGTGAAATAGGGCAAAGTCAGCATGGTTTCATTAAAAGGAGGTCATGCCTGACAAATCTGTTAGAATTTTTTGAGGAGGTAATGAGCAGGTTAGACAAAGGAGAGCCAATGAATGTTATCTTTCTGGACTTCCAGAAGGCCTTTGACAAGGTGCTGCACAGGAGGCTGCTGAGTAAGATAAGGGCCCATGGTGTTAGAGGCAAGGTGCTAGCATGGATAGAAGGTTGGCTGTCTGGCAGAAAGCAGATGGTGGGAATAAAAAACTCCTTTTCAGGATGGCAGCCGGTGACTGCTGGTGTTCTGCAAGGGTCAGTGTTGGGACCACAACTTTTCACTTTATACATTAATGATCTCGATGAAGGAACTGAGGGCACTCTAGCCACATTTGTAGATGATAGGTGGAGTGACAGGTAGCAATATGGAAGTGGGGAGGCTGCAGAAGGATTTCGACAGATTAGGAGAGTGGGCAAAGCAGTGGCAGATCGAATACAATGTTGGAAAGTTTGAGGTCATGCACTTTGGTAGGAAGGATAGAGACAGACGATTTTCTAAATGCAGAGAAAATCCAGAGATCTGAAGTGCAAAGCCACTTGGGAGCCCTTGTCCAGGATTGTCTTAAAGTTAACTTGCACGTTAAGTCGGTAGTTAGGAAGGCAAATACCTTGTTGGCATTTATTTCGAGAGGACTAGAATATAAAAGCAGGGAATGTGCCTCTGAGGCTGTATAAGGCTCAGGTCAAACCACATTTAGAGTTTGTGAGCAAATTTGGGCCCTTTATCTCAGGAAGGATGTACTGGCTGTAGAGCAGGTCCAGAGGAGTTCACGAGAATGATCCCAGGAATGAAAGACTTAACATATAAGGAACATTTGAGGACTCTGGGCCTATACTTGATGGAGTTTAGAAGGATGAGGGGTGATCTAATTGAAACTTACAGAATACTGACAGGCATGGATAGAGTGGATGTTGGGAAGCGGTTTCCATTAGCAGGAGAGACAAGGACCTGAGGGCACAGCCTTTGAGTAAAGGGAAGACCCTTTAGAATGAAGATGAGGAGAAACTTCTTCAGCCAGAGAGTGGTGAATCAATGGAATTCACCTCCACAGAAGGCTGTGGAGGCCAGGTCATTGAGTACATTTAAGACGGAGATAGATAGGTTCTTGATTGTTAAGGGGATCAAAGGTTATAGACAGAAGATGAAGAATGGGGTTGAGAAACTTATCAGCCATGATTGAATGGTAGAGCAGATTCAATGGGTTGAATGGCCTAATTTCTACTCCTTTATATTATGGTCATATAGTCTTATGGACTTAGCTGTACTGAAGAAACACTCACTGCATGCAGGCTCTCAAGCCCGGGGCTCATCTGCTTGCCTTCTTTTTTCTTTTGCTGTTTTTCTTTTCTTTTTCATTTTGTTCTGGTTTGTTTTTCTTTTCTTTGAAGCCATTTGCGATGGGTTGGTTGGTGGCATTGGCGCAGCAGCAAGAGCAGGCCATGTACCGAATGGCAGCAGCCCTCCCGGTGGTCGGAGGCTGCGGCAGCAGCAACGGCAATGGCAGGAAGGACATTCTCCCACCGTTCAAGTCTGGTAGCAGCAGCAGCAGCAAAGCTCCTCCAGTGATAAGAGGCAGCAGCGGACTTTTCAAGATAGTGGCACTGACAAGGTGACATCTCTGAGGAGGTGGCTGGAGCTGGACATCTGGCAAGGCAGCAGCAGCCTGGCCTGGCAGTGGAGTCAGCGACTCTTGGTTGCAGGAAGCCCAGACCAGGAACTCTTGGCATTACTGAGGCAGTCCAGAGCAGGGACTCCTGATTATTGGCGAGATTGCAGCTGCAGCCCCTGGTTGTAGGCCTGGGGGGGTGCGAGTGTGGTTTAGCACGGGACCCGGTGTTGACAAAGTGGGCCCAGCAATGAAGAAGTGGCACCTAAAGAGTGATGACTCCTGTATTGGTGGGTCCAGGTCAGGTGGTGGTGAGGCAGTGGAGGAGGGTTGGCAGCACCGGTATCGTTGGTGAGTCAGCTAAAGACTCATGGTGGAACTGGCGGAACGAAGATAGACTGTCCTTTAGTTATACTTTTTAATTCTTAAAGTATTCAAAATGGTGCCAAATTTTGGTGAGAATTGAAGCTTTTCACTATATTTAATGGTACTATTCACCGTAAGATGCAAGTGACAATAAATCTTTCAATTTCAATAAAACCCCATTTATAATATTTCTAATTCCGATTTAATGCCTTATTATAATAAAGATGTTATTCAGCTGCATACTCCCTTCTAAAAACAAGGATTGGAATTCCTAGTCTGAGGTCAAAACTTGGAGTTGTCAATCATACTGTGAAATGGCAGGCACCCTACTAGGGTCATGTTTAAATGCAGTATCAGTGATGCAGCGCTGATCCAGTCATCTGGCATAGGTCAACAGACAGAGTGAAATAGCAAGTAGCAAGTAATGCTTTTTTTAAACACTTCACTTGTTTTTCAAGAATTTAAGGGGCAGGAATTTTAAATGCATCAACAGCTTGACATCTCTCTAAAACAGCAGCTTTTGATGTTTTCTGTTCATGCTTTCGACAGTAGTCTTCAATAGTTACACTTGTCACTTTTGACAGATGTATTTGAGGGTTCCTCTTGACAGGTTCCTTTGAGGCGACTGGCAGTTCCCTTTGATAGGTGCTTTCAACAGTGCCCTTGATAGGCCTGTTGACTGTTCCAATTTGCTTGACACTTTTTGCATACATTCGCGCCTATAATTTAGTAACCCCAAAGGACACCTTCCTCAAAGAGTACCTGATCTCCTGAATTATCCTGGTACCATATCCAATCTGGCTTCTGGGACCTTACCTCTCCAAAGGGTTATCTGAATAATCCCACAATGTTCAGATCTTCTACCACGTCTAATCCACACGTATCATATTTCAGACATCGATGTCACCAAATTATGACAGAAGTGGAGGTAGTGGCTGATTTCTTTGGGTGGTTGCCTCCACAAAATTTACATTAATGAATTCTGACTTGGACTTATTAGCTGCCCATGCAAAAGTGTTGGGGGATGCGACTTCAATTTTTTGGGATTGTCTTCCCATTTTTGCCATGATGGAGAGGCTGTGTATTGTGGCAAAAATCCAGGCCCAGGAGCTTGAAATGGCCCCAGATAGTCTGGTCCACATCTAGCTTTCTCTATGGTACAGAGTAAATATTATTCAAGTGCATTTTTGCTTCTTGAAATTGTTAGGCCATTGTGACCACCTGTTCTTCTAATTGAAAACAAAATGACATCATCTGTTGGACGTCATCAGCTGCATATTGTCTTTTAATGAAGTCCACATGATTTAACGTTATTAATCTCTACATGTCAGGCCATGTCCATGCCAAAATTGTTATTGCACCTACAGGCATGACATTAGCTGATAACCAAGCACATGTTTGCCCTCAAAAAGGTTTTCAGTTCATCGCTCATTATTTGAGCGATTTAATGTGTCTCGTGATTCATTGGATGAGTGATAATGTATCACAAACTTGCTTGCACGGTTAACATTCTTAAAAGCCAAAACAAAACTGTTGAGAATGAAAAAAATATATTTTATACAAATTAATTCTTCCCCTGTATTTTATGTTTGTATTACCTTCATTGAGATGTTTAATAAATATTGTGAATGGCAGGAATTGCAGGTTATATCCCTGGAGAAGTTTGATAGTCACAGCTGCTCAATTAGAATTACTGCCATTGATAACTACTTTCTGTTTCCTATTATCTAGCAAATTAATATTCCAATTCTAAATTTCCTTCATGATCCCACGAGATTTCACTTTAACCATTAGTTTCATGTCAAAGACTACATCAACTGCTTTATGAAGTAAAAATGCGTGATATCCACCCACTTGCCTTCATTCAGCAACTATGGTACATCCTCAAAGATTTTAATCCTGTTAGGAACAACCTGCTTTTTATAATTCCATGTTGGTTTGAATTTATTTCCTTCACTCTCCCTTGATGCTTTTGATTTGGTTCCTGTATAATAAACTTTATTTTCCTACCCTATTTTTCAAACTAATGTTCTTCTAATTATTAGGTCATTGTTCTGTGCTATAAGGAAACATTAAGTCCTTTTCCTCCTTTGCCATAGAATAGATAAAACTTTCTGCCAGAGAAGTCTGAACCTCTACATTAAAAATGTTCTCGATATTAAAATGAAAACTTTTTTCATTAGATTACGCTTTAGATGTATTTGTTCTTGTATAAATAACAATTAATTAGGCCTGACAGTTTACAATATATTTGGGAACTGTTTCCATTTGTGCAAATGTTATGCAACAACTATAACTTTGTTTGCATTGCGGCATGAGGGCTACTCACTAATTATAGAGTCAATCTCTTTCTTGGGAAATTCTCAACTGGACTTCAAAAGGTGCATGGAATCTGTTTCTGTTACAGTCTTTAATGCACAACACCACAGTAAACTCTTTGTGTCCTGGCCTTATTGTAGGTGCTTCCAAAACCACAGCAATGATGTCAATGGAATTTTGTATTATTCTTCTGTTAATAATAGTGCAGTGAACATCAGAATTGCTGTGCAAATTTAGATTTGCAATTGAAATGCACCCTTTCTTTGGAAACTGCCAGAGGACATGAGTAGTTTTATAGTAAGTAGTCTTTGTCTTTTTCAGTTTAACCTGCAAACGATGCGTTATCATGGGCAATGGAGGAATAGTGGCCAACAAGTCCCTTGGGTCAAGAATTGATGAATATGACGTTGTAATAAGGTGAGTATGTTTTCATGTATTGTAATAGTTCCAAAAGGAACCAGCTCAAAAAAATCTTCATGATATGGCTTGTTTACTCAAGATCACTTTTGTACCAGCATCAGTGATTCAAGAATAAGAGCTAGCCACAATATAGTTTTATGATTTGTGTGGATAAGCAAGCAAGTCTTTCCTCTGATCTTTCTCGTTTGCTCATGTAAAGCTTTAGCTTTTACCTCTGGAACTATTTCTTTGCAGTCATCTTTGTTTGGTATTGGAGGTGACCAGCTTGCTTTCAGACTGACACACAGATTCTTTCCATTGGCTTGCTGCATATTCAAACCCCTTAGCCAGTTCACTTTGATTGATGGCCAAGCTTAAACATGTGAGGATCTAACTGAAAATGCCACATCAGAATAGTTGCACTTCTTAAAATTAATCTGTAACTAAAATGAGTTAATTTTCCTTTCAGTCCCTGTTTCCTGAGTTTGGGTTTCTGCTGCTGCTTTTGGATGTTAGGAAACATCGAAATTAAATGCTTCTCAAGTAATTCTGAAATGACAATGAGTACAGTACAGCAATGCATATAATTGGGCTATTGTTCCAAATTCACAAAGAACAAGGAGATTAAAATACATTATTTTACAATAAAGATGCATTATTGACATCAGCAATTGCATTTTCAAGACTTCTTAATTCATATAAATCTGAAAGTATTATTTCTGTTTTTTTCTGTCATCTAATCCTACTACCCCTACAGGATATGGTCACGGCATTGTAAAATGTTCAATGTCGTGGCAAGACTCAGAAAACTAGAGCTCAAAGCAGTGGATTGTTGTAAAATAACTAAACCTTCCTCAGTAAATTTGTCACATTGTAATTACTCTAGCCAACTTCCTCAGTTCTGAGGAAGGGTCACCGGACCCGAAACGTTAACTCTGTTTTCTCCTCCACAGATGCTGCCAGACCTGCTGAGCTTTTCCAGCAACTTTGTTTTTGTTCCTTATTTACAGCATCCGCAGTTCTTTTGGTTTTTATTTAGTGATCCTTTAGTACTTTTTTGGCATCCCCAGTTACTCACTTTGTACTCCAGAGAAACTGCTATTCTATTGCCAACGCTGCTTCCTACACTTATATAAATATATTTCCGTTATACAATGCTAAGGTATCAAAAATGACATAATGGAAGACTTCAAAATTGATGCCAAATAACTGGTCCATTTAACTCATGTCCTCTGAAGATGACACTTGGTCTTGACACATTTCACCTTTATATAGTGCCAATAAGGTAGTGAAATGTCCCAAGAAGAGTTAAGAAAACAAAAGAAAGAAAATTTAGGGCAGATGACCAGACATTTGGTTAATAATATAGGTTTTAGGGAGTGTCTTAAAAAGAGAAGGAAGAGGTGGAGAGATATTTAGGAAGGGAGTTCCAGAGTTTAAGACCCACAAGCATAGCACCCACAAATTAGTATGCTGAGTTGATTCTGGGAATGTGGTGATTTTTGTATGAGGAGAGCTTGTGTGTGTGTGCATTGAATGGCAGAGCAGACTTGATGGGTCTGAGTGGTTGACTTCTGCTCCTATGTTTTATGGTCTTATAGATGGTCCTGGTGACAGTGTAGATATGTGGTCAGAAACTCCCTTGACAACAGATATGAGACCAAGGTTACAACTGATCTAGTTCAGCTTCTGCCAGGCAACAGGAAGAGAGATGATTATAAAGCAGTAGTGACTACAGAATGGACTAAAGATCATGGCTGCTGTGTTTTTACTATGTTTAAGGAGGTAGTTCTGCTCATCCAGGACTAGATATTCATCAGGTATTCTGACAATGTAGAGATTATGGCGAGTTCAAGGGTGGTGTTGGAGTAGACTGTCATCTTTCTATATTATTAGAACCCAACACCTTGATTTTGGATGAAAGAAAGGGAAGCAGAAAAGACAGTTGACTGGGTATTCTCAGTCTTAGTGATAGAAAAAATACTCTGCATTTATTGTTAGAGGTGACAGCTCAGGAAGCAGAGGAAAGAAGTTTAAGGAGACTATTTGTACAAGAGGCAGGAAGCCTGGGATTATCTTTGCAGTTGGCACTTTTTTCACTGGATGGCAGTACCTAATTGTTTTTTTATGTGACCCATTCAGAAAAAGCAACAGTTAAACCAGTTGAGATAACAAGGTGTAGAGCTGGATGAACACAG